CCCCCCCCCCCCCCCAGATGAGTCAATGTGACTGATTTCTATTGTCACTCTGACCTTATAAGTCACTCTAGATAAGGAAGAAAGTTAATGGCTCAAGAGAGTTGACAAATGATGGGGTAAATGCTGGGATCTTAGCCCGACTCTTGGGAATGGCTTTTAGCTATATGGCCTTTTGGCATTGGGGTGTTAAGATGTGCACAGGCCATATCTGTAGAAAGGCCTGGGTCTGTTTGAAGACCCTAGCATTATGAGTTGGGAGTATGTGGTTCTTGCTCCCAGCCCATTGGCCAGTGGTATGGTGGAAGATGGGCCCAGTTACCCTCTGGCTTTGACAGAATTGCTGCTCATCTTCTAATTTGTGTGGATGCACATGTGTTTGTGGGTGCATGTGCACATATGTGGAGACTAGGGGTCAACCTTGGGTGTTGTTCCTCGATGTCATTCACCTTGCTTTATCAGATAGGGTCTCTTCACTGGCCTGGAACTCACCAGTTCTGCTAAGCTGGATGGATAGTGAGACCCAGGGAGCCTCCTGTTTTCTCACCCCCAGTGCTGGAACTGCAAGCGTGCACCACCATGTCCAGATGTTTCATAGGTTCTAGGGACTCAAACTCAGGTCCTCATGCTTGTGCAACAAACACTTTGCCAGCAGAACCATCTTCTAGGCCCACATGTTCTATTTTCAGAAAACAGGCCAGTTGACCTCTTCATACCTATTGCTCTGGAAGTTTTCAAAGCCAAATATATCCAAGAGACCGATGGCCCTCCGAATGTTTTTGGGGTCCTGGGATGGTGGTGTGAAGATTGCAGCATTGATCTTCTTGATGATCCACAGAAAGAGGTGCCCATAAATGCCCTGTGGGGGATGAGGGGGAGACACAGGTGAAGCCTTGGGCTCTGAGGCAGAGGAGGAGGCTATCCCCTCTCCAAGTTCACCCCGTAAGTCTGCATGCAGATCAATGTCACCCACCTCTTAAGAGCTGTTACCCCTACTTTCAAGAAACCTGGGCCAGAGAGACTGGGTGGCTAGCAAGTTGGGACTTGCCCATCCATCTCTGTTCTCTCCTGCTCCATGGCTTTGTACCTTGACAAAGGCATCTCTCCGGTCTACAGCCTGCGCAATGTTCAAGGGCCTGGAGACATACTCCCCGAGGATGGGGATTGTGTGTTTGATCAGACAATCTCGGAGGGCCTTGTGCTGCACCTGGAAAGAGGGTGGGAATGCATCATACCTATGCAGCAGAGCCTGGGCTGTGACCCTGACCTGTTCTTGCAGTATCTTGTTCCCTCTTGTAACCAAAGACCCCTTGAAGGCCAGAAATGCTTAAGATCAGGCCCAGGCCCCCAGGGGGTCATAGCCTTGGTTTCATAAGTGCCTTGTGCAGTGTTCATGGGAGACAAGCCTGTTGGTAAGCCTGAGCATGCTGGCCTTCTAAGCCTGAGAAAGGGGCTGGTGCAGGGAGGGCTCTCAGGCCTGGCTTTATTATCCCCTAAAATCACTGTCCCCTGGAGGCTGAAAACTGAAAGGAGCAGAGGTTGGGCCCTCCCCATACAGAGAGGATATAGATAAGACTCGAAGTTTCTAAATATTGGCTAGAGTCTGAATGTGTCCCCCTGAGTTTATATGTTGGGAACATGATCTCCAAATTCATGTTAATGATATTTGAAGTAGGGCTTTAGGAGATGACTGGTTCCTGTGGGTTCCGGATTAATTCATTCATGGATTACCCATTCCTGGATTAATGAGTTATCTTGGGAGTGGCTTTGCTATAAAGCTCTCTGACTTGAGTACTCTGTCTCACTACCTGCTGCCTTCTATGTTATGATGCAGCAAGGAAACCCTCATCAGATGATATGCAGACAACATTGCTGTGCTCTTGGACTTTCTAGCCTCCCAGAACTGTGAGATAAATGAACAAGCATTATTTATAAATTACCCAGTTCTAGATATTCTGTTATCTCAACACAAAATATACCAAGACTGTGCCCTTGAGCCAAAAGAACATTAACAGAAAAGTATACCCAATGTGATTTTTTTTTTTACTTTTGATGCTATTATTTTTTCTAGAACTGTCAACGGATGTGATAAAAAATTTGCTACATCCCCAGTGCAAAAGTACATACTCAGGCCCCTTGATGTCACTGAGTCAAGGTTCCTATTGTTCTCTGAGGGCTTATGGGCTGAGCCACAGATGCATTTAGACTACATACTTTCCAGAAAAGCACAGCTCATGAGGAATAAGGATACAAGACAAGGATGATCTGATGGGTGTGGGGTTTGGTGCCCAAGAGGGGACCATAAGGACTGGGTAGGGTAGAGGGTGAAGGTGCTGAGGATAGAATCACTGAAAGACAGGAGGGGACACAGAAAGGAGGAAGGGATGTTCATTAAGGCTACACTGGTCACTTCGATGGCTAATGATAGGCTCACACTTCAACTTCTTTGGTTCTCCCCCTTGGTGTCCCTAGTATGCAAATGGGCTGGGAGTCTGTGAGAACATGGGAAGCGTGGATGGAGGCCTGGGGAGGGCTATGAGAATCAGGTGTCTAGATCTGTCAGCTTAGGGTCCCAAGTACTCTCACAAGAATCCAACTTAGTTAACATTATGGTCCAGTACCTCTAGTAACTTCATTGCTAAGGGAAAGGCTGGAGTGTCCATCACATCAGAGGAATCCAGGTTCTCAAAGACAGCAGCTGCGGAGAGAAGCGGCAACCCTGAGCAAGAAGTGTCTAATGTGATGGACAGAGGTCCCAGACAGGTTCAGGCCCTGGACAGCCTCATATCCACACTTTAATGAATCACTACCTCTCCAGGGACCTTCCCCTGGGAGGAGTGAATGTCCCCCACTGGCTACCAATCATTAGCAACTTGGGTAAGGTTGGAGCCCTGGATGAACAGAAATTTGAAGGACTATGGGGCTTAATGGAGAGAGAAGACTGGGTTGAGATACCCAGCACTCATTGGGGCTGTAGGGCTAACTGGGGTCTGTGATCGGAGAAGATGGGCCACAGATCTCCTTTCTTTTACTCTGCTGTCACCAGCAGCCCAGACGTTTGTTTGTTTATGCAGTTAGAAGACTGTAAGCAAGTCTCTTGACTATATCTCTACTTCCAATTTCTCCTCTTTAAGCAATATATATCTTAGGAATGACTGCCTGGGAGTGAGTGAGGGTGTTTTGTTTTAACTTTAAAAGTGGTGAGAACATAGGATGTGGGATAATGGTAGAGTGCTTGCCTGCCATGCATGAGGCCCTGAGATCAATCCCAAACATCACACATACACAAATACACTAACTTTTATGAAAACCACACCTTGCTTCTTCTTTATCTTTTTATTACTTGCACAGTGTCTCTACATAGCACTGAGTTTTATGTGTGTGCAAGTGCACATGCACATGAATGTGTGTGTGTGTGTGTGTGTGTGTGTGTGTATGAGGCTAGAGGCCAACATCAGGTGTCTTTCTTGATCATTCTCCACCTTATTTTTTGTTTGTGTGCATACACATGTGTAATGCAGGTATGTGTTTGTATGTATGTGTGCATGTGGGTGTCTCCATCCACCCATGATGTTGGTGTCTTCCACCATTGCTCTCCATTTTGTCTTTGAGATAGTGTTTCCACTAAACATGGTGCTCACCAGCTGACTAGACTGGCTGGACAGTGAGCTCTAGGGATCTACCTGTCACTGCTACCCCCTCCCCACCCCTAGCACTTGGGCTGTAGACACACAGAGGTTCCACTTTAGTTTTTTGAGACAGGGCTCTCACTGAACCTGGAGCTCTCCCAATTCAACTAGACTGGCTAGCTAGTGAACCCCAAGGCTCTTTCTGTTTCTTCCTCACTAATTCTGGGGTTAAGGTGCATACTATTGCAGCCTGCTTTTTATGTGGGTTCCAAGTTTTCAAGTTTGTGTGGCATGTACTTTAGTGATTGAGCTAATCTCTCCAAACCCTAGCCCCAAGTTTTACTGTGTTTAAATGTGGTGTTGTTATATATCTCACTGCCTGATCCTCTGAGCCTGGTGTGTCCCTTAACGCCATGTCTAGCTCTCCTCCACATCTCATGCCCACTTCTGGCTTACATGTGCCTCTTCCCTGGCAGAAACTCCCAGTGTGGTGGATAGATGACTGGTCACCCTAGCTGCCACTTGCCTGGAGCCAATTTTCTGATATGAAATGAGTTGGTGGTACACATTCATAGTCTCCACACATTCCTGAAAGATCCGTCTTTCCCCATCAGTGTCTCCCATCAGTTCTAGACCCAGCTTTCGTTGTCTCTTTAAGAACAGATCGTCTTTTCTGTTATGACTCCACCCAAAGGTCTGCTATGTCTGCTCACAGAACCTTCTGGGCTTCCTGTCCTCTCCCTGTATTTTCTACCTTTCTGCCTCTCCATACTGTATTCTCCTGGTTTACTATCACCTTTCTTCCAGTTCACATGTTCTTTTGGCCAGTTCATCCAGTGAGCCCCTAATTGTGTGTGTGTGTGTGTGTGTGTGTGGTGAACTTAGGGGATGCATTCTAGGAAGAGGATATCAAGCCTCCAAGGTGTGCTGTAGTGTGTGTGTGTGTGTGTGTGTGTGTGTGTGTGTGTGTGTGTTAGTGTTAGTGTTAGAGAATGCAGCAAGCAGAGCTTCTCTGTGGTCCATATCTAGTAATTCTAGCACCTAAAATCTTTGTAGGTCTATTCCTATTGTCGGTTATCTCTGCTGGTTATTGCTTGTGGTACCTTGCTTCCTTGTTCCTATTTGTTTCTGACTGTATTCTGGATATTGTGTCTGAAAAAATACTGGAAAGAGTTATTACTGATCTAAGTTACTAGTATTTTACTCTAGAAAGGATTGTCAGTAACTTCTGTCAGTTGCTTAGGGGAGCCTACATGTCAGGACCCTTTAATGCCCAGACCACCTTGATTGCTTTCAAACTGGTTTGCAAGTTCATGAATAGATTTGTTTACTCCGGTTCACTCTGATCATGAGCAGGAAGCACTCTGAGGTTCCATCTGAAAGTGGGTGACTGACCTGATTCTTTAAACCTTTGTGTGTGTGCCCGTGTGTATATGGTTATACATGCACATGTGCAGGACAGAGTTTGATGTTGAATGTCTTCTGTAACTGTTGCTACATTTTGTTTTTGACACTATCCTAGAGTTCACTGATTCAGCTAGACTGATTGACCAGTGAGCTCAAGGGATCTGCCTGTCTTTGCTCCCCTACCACTGGGATTACAGTACAAGCATGGATTTTTACATAGATACTAGGGATCCAAATTCAGGTCCTTATGCTTACATGTTAAGTGCTTTACCAACAGAGTCATCTCTCCAGCTCATGACTTGATTCTTTAACTTTGGAGGCCCTATGCTTTTATATCTTCTCTTCATCCTTGCACAGTCTCTAAAATCACAGTCACATTTTTAGGATATATTTTTCCAAGACTAGGTTAGACCATATGACCCTTCTGGTACAAAGCCCCAGAGATCCTTCCTCTGGCTCGCCACGCCCCTCTGTTCTCCCTCCCCAGGGTATCGTCAGGACAGAAGCAGCATTACCCGTAAACTCCACATTCCCCAGGTGCAGGATGGCTGCCAGCAGCTTGCTGGTGTCCCAGTTCTCAGAGTCTGAGAACTGAAGGATCTTCATGGCTGAGCGAACATGGGCGTAGTCCTTGGCATCATTTAGGCCCTCACAAGATGTGCAGTTCCCCTACAGGACAGGACACCTCAGTTGACAGGGCCACTCCAGGTCGCACCTCTATTCTGGGGCCAAGATGCCCCAGGAACCCAGCCAAAAGCCCTGAGAAGTCACTGAATAGACTCAGGTGGACCTTAATGGGCCATCTCCAAGTATAAGCTTAGCAAATAAAGGTATTTCCAGAGGCAAAACCCCAATGCTATTGTAACCATCTTGGTAGAAATGAAAATATTCTAAATAGGCACTTGTGTCCCTCTCTTTGGTTGACTATTGAAACAATGGTCTCCAAGAAATTGGAATTTTCCCAGGAGTCTCATGCTGGGAGAAAAATAGCTGGAGTCCAGGAGATAATGGGTCAGTGATGGGCAGGACCTCATCTTGACCAGGACCGTTAGCTATGCATCCCTCTTGCCCTCTGTTTAAACCTAAATTTCATGTCAGGATATGGAAAATTGACTTGGGGGATCATTAGACCTCTTTGTGCCTCTTCCCAATGTAGCTGCATTGAATAAATTTTCTAATCTGCTTAATTGGTCTATTGAAGATGAGTGACTGAGCCTGACTTGTTAGAGCTGCCAGGCCCAGCCTCTGACAGCCATAACAGCTCTGAGACACTATGGCCAAAGCAAGCCTAGGTTTTGCTGCCAGCACTGGGTTACCATGAGTAAGTCATTCCTATTTCTGAGTCTCTATTTGTCATCTGTCCATTTTGAGCCTGCCTAGCCTGTCTCTAGGAGATACTGTGGGCTTGTACCTTTAGCACACACTTCCCAAGGTTGACCACATGCCAGGCCCTGTGCTCCTTGCTAGGAATTATGAACTGGTGAGCTGTAGTTCTGTGCATCCAAGAGGGGCAGGCAGGAGCCCAGTGACCTTTCATTGGATATCACCAGACCTAAGACCAAAGAGGCTAGAGCTAGCCCTACTGGGAGGCTGGGAAAGACTCAATTTAGGAGGTGTCTTAGCTGGGCCCTCATAGAACTTTGGAGCATCACAGGGCAGAGGATGGTGGGACAGATGAGGAAGGCAGAGGCCAGGGCCTGTGAGGAGGTTTGTGTCAGATGCTGCGGAGATACAAAGCCATAGCAAACATCATGACTTCTAGTTAATTGTCATCAGAGACATGCACCATCAGATCTTCACTATTGGAAGATCCCATTGCTTGCAAGCAGATGGCAGATCAGGGGTCTAGACCAGTGACAGGGACAACCCACAAGTCCAGGCAAGGACTGATAATGACTTTGAGGCAGTGGCCATAGGAGTAAGGACTACACAGAGGAGAGATCCAAGAGATAAAACATGTCACTTCCTTGTCAACCGATGCAAGCCCATGACTGCTTGAACGTCACTGTACCAGAAAGCAAGGATATAGGGAAAGCAAGGCTTGTGTTCTGGGAACTTGTAGTCTAGGTGTATCTACAAGGATAAGTGTGGGAGGCGCGTGTCTGACTATCCTTCATCCACTGTACTGGGAGCCTCTTGTAGGCCTGGAAGGGACCAGAGGATGATGAGGTATATGGGGAAGGACCACAGGCTGAGCTTGGGGTTCTAGAAGTACTTTGGGCAGAAGGGAAAGAGGCAGTGGACTGCTAAGGCAGTCATCAAGTTGTTTCCAGACAGGAAAGGGAAGAGGTCTTGGCACCCCACCTCAGACCCAGCTGGAGCAGGGGTATCTCAATGGCCAAGGTTGAGGCTGGAGTGTACACTGGTTTTTCTTCTCCCTATCCTGCTGAGGAGCAGGCTAGGAGAATGGAGGGGCTCACCATGGTCAGGTAATGGTACTCAGCAGGCATCCCCAGGCCCAGCAGCTTCTTCTCTTCCGGGTTCATCCCCATCAGCATGGAGTAGAAGATGTGGTAGTTCCGTTCCTCTGCGGCCTGGGGGAGAGGGGATTCCAAGGGGACACATAGGCAAGCTCTATAGGGCTTCTCTGGTTTCAGCTCTAAGATCTCCTAGTCATGTGGGGCTCTGGCATTGATCCAAGGACCAACATAGACTCCAGAACTGGTTCATCCCGTTGTTTTTATTTATGTTTTATTTTGTATGTATGTGCATGTTCCTGTGCTGCAGGTACATGTGTGTATACATGTATGTGGAAGCCAGAGGACAATTTCAAGTCATTCTTCCTCAGGCATCATTCACCTTGTTTTTGTGAGACAGAGTCTCACACTGAACCTAGTACTCATCAGTGAGGCTAGGCTGGCTTGCCAGTGAGCTGCAGGGACCTATCTGTCTCTGCCTTCCCATGGGATTACAAGGGTGTACTACCACATCCAGATTTTTCTAAATGTAAGTGCTGGGGGTCAAACTTGGTTCCTCATGCTTTTGTGGCAAGCCATCTCTCCAGCCTTGTTTCCTATATCTTGACCTCGCCTTCCAGCCTAGAAAGTCATACAAGGCTCTGTGACTCAAAATCCCATGGGATTTATAGCCAGTCAATGACCCTCTGGAAAGCCGGTGGCTATGGGTTATGTGGAGGTGGGGTTTATATACACTACTAACAATTGTATCCTTACTGTGATACAAACTGCAGTATGTGGTGTCATGAGGTGAGCATTATTTTCTACCCTTCCTCAAAAATCTCTATGTCTTCCCCACACAAGCCCCCTTAAATTTATTTACCTACAGTGCATCTATAAGGTTTTCTGTGTGTGTGTTCATGTGTATGCTCCACATATGTGAACATGCATGTGGAAGCCAAAGAACAGCCCTGAGTATCATTTGTCAGGAGCTGTCTACCTTTTTTTTGAGACAGGATTTCTTTCTGGTCTGAAACTAAGCAAGTAGGCCAAGCTAGCTGGCCAGCAAGCCCAGGGGATCCTCCTATCTCTGCCTCCCCCATCCTGGCCACATGGCGTTCTATGCTGTCACCCAGGTCCCTCCTATACTCCTCAGTGAACCTGAAGATGCACCTTGCCTCTGGCCCTTGCCAGGCCCAGCTAATTTTAGTGGAGGTGAGGCATAGTAGGCACCAAAAAATGAAGAATAGTGTGTGGAGGAGTAGAAGTTCAGTCGCTAGTGCTGGAGAGCTGGCTCAGCAGTTAAGAACACTGGCTGCCATTGCAGAGGACCCAGGTTTAGTTCCCAGCACCTACATGGTGGCGAACAACAGTCCATAACTCCAGTTCCAGAAGACCCAATGCCCTCTTCTGGCCTCTGCAGGCATTGCACATGTGGTACATTTACATACACACAGGCAAAACACTCATGCACATAAAATAAAAAGAAATAAGTTGATTAAAAAAATTTTTTTAAGAAGCTCAAAGTCACTCTCAACTACATAACATATTTTTTAAAATGTTGGGGCTGGTAAGATGGCCCCGTTAGTAAAGTGCTTGCAATGCACATGGACATAGAGGCACACACAAGTTGTATGGATGAAAAATTCAAAGCTGAAAAATTCTATTGTTTGTTTTCCTAGAGTACTGGGAGGCCCATGAAATCTGGGAGGTGGCAGTGGCCAGGGAAGGGTGGCAGTGAGGAAGGGGCCCTGGCAGAATCCCATAGGGTGGCAGAGCCTCACCTGCCGGCAGACTCTCGACTTCTCTAGAAGAAAGTGCTCGATGCGTGCGCTCTCAATTACCCCGCTAGGGTTGAAGTAGATGTCGATGTACTTCCCAAAGCGGCTGGAGTTGTCATTTCGGATGGTCTTGGCATTGCCAAAGGCTGAGGGTGAGAAGGTGGTACCCATCACAGGAACAGAGAGGAGAAAATTTCCCTTTATTGAGGGGGAGGTCGTCTGGGTAGGTTCTCAGACTAGGTGGCTGAAAGGTCTGGGGTTTAGGGTTCAAGGGTGACTATCAGGTGGATTGTTCCTTTGGATAAAAAGTTTATTCGAAGAGGCTGGGTGTGGTGGTTCAGGCTTTTGATCTCACCACTCAGCAGGCAGAGGCAGATGTTTGTGAATTCAGGCCAGTCTGGTTTACATAGAGAGTGCCAGGACAGCCAGACCCTGTCTCAAAAAACACACAAAAACAAAATCCCAACAAAAC